TACAGAAAGAGAAAAGTACTGTGCAAAAGGGAGAAACCTTCACGATTGGGACAGTAGCCCATGCACACAAAAACTGGAAGGAGAAAGTTCAGTTTTTTTTTAATGTAAGTTCTTTAAGATTTTTTTAAAATTAAAAAAAATTTTTTTTTAATGTAGGCTTCAGACCCTCCATGGAGCACAACATGGGGCTTAAACTCACGACCCTGATATTAAGACCTGATCTGAGATCAAGGGTTGGACGCTTAACTGACTGAGCCACCCAGGTGCCCGTGAATGTTTAAGTTCTACAGTCAGAAAATACAGAAGGAAGCTAGTTTAATTTCAGAAAGCATGGGGTTTTATATCAATTCTCAAAATTTTATTTTGGATTACTCATGAGTAGGGTAACACTACTGTTGTTGTTGTTGTTATTATTATTTTGGTAAATTTTGTTACTATGGAGAGGTTTAAACCTGTATGAAGTACACAGAATAGTATAGTGACTCCTTATATACCGCCACGCCACTGCCACCAAAGACATCGTCATTCTCATCACACTGCATCTATGCTTCTAATCCAGCGGCTCTCACTGGGGGTGGTTTGGTTGCACCCTCTCTTGTGCTCGGATGTCTGGCGATGTCTGCAGACATCTTCCCTTGTCACAATCGGGACGGTGTTGCTGGCGGCCAGTGGGTAATGGTGAGGGGTGCTGCCAAACGTCCCACAATGCACCCGACAGCCCCACAGTGGAAGGTTCCCTGGTCTGAAATGTCAACGGTGCAAAGGGTAAGAAACCCTGCTGTCAGTGCTCTATCCTTCACTTAATTTTTTGGGGTAAAATGTAAGTATATTGGGATGTTCAATTCTGAACTGTAAAATTCTGACAAATGGATTTAGCCTTTGTAATGCACACGCCTCTCCTAAGTTTCTGTATAAAGCCTTTATCAGAGTCAACCATCTTTCTTCTATTCCTAGTTTGCGGAGGCGGTGGTTGGTGAGTTTTTAAATCTATCCCTATGGGAATTACATTGTTATTGATCCACTTGCTTTTTTATTTATTTTTTATAGATTTTATTTATTTATTTGACAGAAAGAGAGCACAAGCAGGCAGAGCGGCAGGCAGAGGGAGAAGGAGAAGCAGACTCTCTGCTGAGCAGGGATCCCGATGTGGGGCTCGATCCCAGGACCCTGGGATCATGACCTGAGCCGAAGGCAGCCGCTTAACTGACTGAGCCACCCAGGTGTCCTGTCCACTTGCTTTTTTAAAAGGTGTGCTGAACTCCACACTTAGAAGAGATTTTCTGGGATTTACCGAGAACTGTGCCCAGGAATAACCATTCTATTTTCTCATTCTTCCAACTGCCATTATGCATATACTACCTGATTCTCTTTTTCCTTTTCCTTGGTGTTTGGGCTTAAAAAAAAAAAATCTAAATTTTGCTTTAAATATTTTTTTCCAGATGATTTTGAATTCTGTGAATTTTTAAAAAGTCAATATGGTCAAAATGGACTGTGTGTTTATGTGTATGTGATGGGATATTATTCAGCCTTAAGAAGGAAGGAAATTTTGAAACATGGATAAACCCTGAAGACACACTAAAGTGAAATAAGCCAGACACAAAAGGACAGATATTGTATGATTCTACTCAGATGAGGTATGTAGAGCAGTCATATTCACAGGGATAGGAAGGTGAATGGTGGCTGCCAGGAGGGAATGGGAAGCTACTGTTTCATGGGAATGGAGTTTAAGTTTGAGACGATGACAAGGTCTGCTGGTGGAGAGCTACACAACAATGGGAAGGGACTTAATACTACTGTACACCTAAAAGTGGTTCAGATAGTCAACTTTATGTTATGTATATTTTACCACAATAAAAACAGGGTCAGTATGTATATGAAGATAATATAAAGGAAAAGAAAATAGCTCCATAGGCGATACACTGCTCAAAATATTTCAGACTCTGTAATATGATACATCTGGAAGGGATGTGTGAGAGTTTGATTCAGTGCTCTTATTTAAACATGAGGAAACTGAGCCTAGATCAGGGAAGCAAAGTCTCATGATCACAGGGACCATTAACAGCAGAGTAAGGACTGGGCCTCACATCTTGGGATCCTTTTCCCCCCACACCATATTGTGCTGCTTCCTGTATGGTAAGTTCATGCAAATGGATTGTATTTCATTGTATTCCATAAGACTAATTCATGACCCTGCAAATCCTGTAAGATCTCTGAAAGATCACCATCTAGGAAGAAGCATTACAAATATTGGTACGGTTCAGTTCCATGTGCCCCTACAATTGCTCAAGAGGACTCTGAGGTCCATAGATAAATAATTCACTTTATATAGTAATCAGGAAGAGAATAAAGAGCAGGGGAATGTCTCCTTTCCTATTTTTGGCACAAGTGTTGAAGATAATCTAAATTTAGGAACTAGTGCCTTTATGACAAAGCAAAGGCAGCTGAGATCAGGCAAAATCTTGACTTTCAATTCCACAGCTTTTGTGAAAGCTTGGATTAGAGTTGCTACAAGACCTGAGTCAGAATCTGTTGTAGCCTTTGTAAACTACCTGATTCCTGTGGTTCTGTTGCCCAAGTAACTGCACCTCCAGCTATAGGACTGCGTGCTTTCTCAGCCCAGGTACTCAGGGCAAGCATGGACCTGCCTACACCCGAACTTCATGTGGGTATCCAACAGGGGTCACCTTGCCCTTCAGTTCCCACCTGTGCCCAGTTCCGGGCTGGGCTCCCTTATCACACACTCCCATTTGCCTTGTGAACAAAGTAAAATCCAGCTTTGCAGATGGCTTTCTCATCCACATCTCAAAGCAGGAGTTAATTCTGGCCAAACTGCTGTTTTTCAGAAGATAAGGGCTTTGACTCCCAAGCTGATTATTTTACCATTCTTTTGAAGAAGAGAAAATCTGAGGAGCACAGGTAGGATATTGGATTTCTGTGACAATATGAAAATATCATGGTTATTAGACACTCAATTGGCTAGTATGGCCCATGCAAAGCTGCAGACTCACAAAAACATGTTCCCAACAGGCCGACTTTGTGTTCCAGTGGCTTCAAGTCTAGAGACAAAACATTAGGAACTCCTACCTCTAGAGCTTCTCTTAGATACAGAGATCATTACTGCACATCCTCTCTGATTACGCACAACAGTGAGGCGCACGGAACGATTTCCCAGCGAACAGGTACTAATGACTGGAGACATGCTGGGGCATTATTCTGCCATCTCCAACGGACAGAATTAGTTCTATGCTTATGACATTCAAGAGTCAAGAACTGCAAAACACTGAAACACTATAGTCGGTGTCTGGATCTATGCAACCTCCCAGGAAGCTTTCTGAGACAACACTTTGGACTCTGGCTTTTAAAGCTGGTCAGCCAGACAGCTGCAGCAAGTAGCAACCAGATGTCATGGGCAGGCGAAGCGGGTACTGAAAGCAGAAACAGAGTCATGTTCTTGGTCTGAGCAAGTGAAAATCGGGAAGAGCCAGCCTCTGCTGAGGGCATACATGTGCCAGACATTGCATCAAGGACTTGATGTGCACGATCTTGTTCAATCCTCACAACTGCCCTGTAAGGCGCAACTACAATCAATCCCCGTTTTCTAGATGAGGAAACTAACTTGCTGGGAGGTTTGCTGAAGGACAAGCAGTTGCTGTGTTGCAGAGATAGGATTCAGCTGCACACCTTCAGCATTCTGGACCCCAGGATCTTCATGCTTACACCATTCAGCTTTTTCATGAGCTAGGAAGGCGATGGCCCTTACAAAAAGAGTATAGAAACAGGGCACATATCAGAGTCAAGAGATTCCTGATGTTCACAGCTATTGCATCTCTGGCTGTGATATCTCATGAGGGATCCATGATGCACTGGGGCATAGGCCAACTTGCCGCCTTCTGGAGACATGACTCGGGTCAGCAATGCTGAGGGCCCAGGGTGAGGGGAAGTCACTGAGCTGGGAAATAGCTGAGCCTCTGCCAAGTCGACTAACTCGGTGGAAGAGCAGGACTTATGGGAATGTCTTGAATTACATCATCTCACTTAAAAATGTCATTGGGAGTTCTTTCAAATATAAAAAGTAACCGAAACAGGTAAAATGTTGCTACCTAGAGGTCTAGAGAGGATTTCTTTTAATGAATACAGGGGACTCATTTAAGGTCAGGACACAAATAGCTCCTATCTGAATAGGTGTTTATCAAGATTTAGGGGCTGAGTATTATTGTTTTTGTTTCTAAGATAGTTTAAATTGTTCTCTAAATTCAAGCAGCTCAAATTTCAGACAGTCTGGATAGGTGATGGCTGAAAAGAGGGGACTCCGCTGTAGCACGTATCTCAACCCATCAGCGCTAAGTGGACACAACTGGTGAGCAGAGGTCTCAAAGCACAGAATTCATGTGAACAGGGTGGGGTTAATCACAGAAAGCTTCTTGGGTGAGGTGACTGGCGTCTCAGTACCAAAAGGATAAGCCTTTCTTTGCTTGAGACTCAAAAGTGTCTCTACCCAGCAAGTAGAGGACCCAAAATAATCAGAGTCTTTGCCGCCCCCTCTGCCTGGACTCTTCACTCTTCTTTCTTCTCAAGCGCCAGCTTTTGGAGGAGCCTTCGTGGAGTGTCCAATCTGAAGCCATTACTCCTTCATGCCCCTAAGATATTCTTTCACAGAACCTAGTTTTATACCCTTTAGCATATTTAAGGTAAAATTCTCTTCTCATTTATTTATTAACTCACATCTTATCTATCTCTTCTTACCCAGGTGTGAGCACCTGGAAGGAGAGATCTTTTCTATATTGTTCACTGTGGTACGCCTGTGCCCAGCACAACGCCTGGGTACGTAGTAGGTGCTTGACAAAAATGGTTTAAATAAACGGATGAATTAAGCTGCCAGGTCATCTTCTGTCCCCAAACAGGGGAAATCAGCAATCTGATTTCTCCAGGGTACATCCCTACTAGAAAGATTTGTGTTTGACCTAGGATAAAAGCCTAAGAAAAAGGCCAATTTATCTCACCTGTTCTGCTCCCACCATGCTAATTGGCTTGCACTTGAAGAGGTGGGTTATGAACTTGGGAATGAAGGAGCTGTGGATTAAAAAAAAAAAAAAGGACAAATTAGGCTTATTCTCTCTCTCTTTTTTAAGCTTTTACTTATTTTAGAGGTAAAGAGCATGCATGAACAGGGGGAGGAGCAGAGGGAGAGGGACAAGCAGACTCCACACTGAGCGCGAAGCCCGAGGCCCAGCTCAGTCTCAGGACCCTGAGATCATGAGCTGAGCCGAAATCAAGAGTCATATGCTTAAAAGACTGAGCCACCCAGGCACCCCAGGCTTATTTTCCTTTTGGTAAAGAAACGCAGAAACTTTTTTTAAAAGGCCCTACTTCCTTCTACAAGAAAACAGAAATCAAAGTAGATGCTATTATCGCCTCCCAGCAACCACTGCCTTCTGTTTCTTCCAGCCCAAACCGTGGTTTTATTTAGGTATATGTGGTCTTGGGATGCTGGGGAAAAGCTGATCCCTCCCAAACTGCAGAGGGGAATTCTAATTAGCCTTAGCCAGTCAGACCACGGCATTTCTGTGCTGACTGTTGGTGGTCCTGAGGTTGGGACATGACCTAGGCCGGCCACCCGGACCGCACGAGTGGGCTTCACTGCATGGCTGCGGGAAGACATCCTCTCTTCTTCAGGGTATTCTTATGTTTGGCTAGAACACCGAGAGCCATTTTACCATCATTCTAAGGAAGAAGCCAGCCCCAGGAGAGCAGGGTAGAGTAAGGAACTTGGGTCCTTAGTGACATTGCTGAACCACTGAATCAGCCATTTTTGGATGTGTCCTACCTCCGTCCTTCTGGTTATACGGAATACAAAGCCCATGTCATGTTTAAGTGAGTTTAAGTCACAGCTTCTCTTACTATCAGCTGAAAACACCCTAACAGACGTGACGGTGAGATAGTCACAGGATGTTAAATGCAAAGACAGAAAATAATTGTTAAGGGAGTAACTGTCAGAACAAGGGAAAAAATTCATGATCTCTGAAAAATTTACTGGGGACTGAAGGGCAAGCTGGGTTGGGGGAAGGGAGTAGGAATTTTAACAGGTCAGGAGGGCTTTTTAGAAAAAACTGCAGGGCCTGAGGAGGGAAAGCTGTTGTACAGGTACAGAATGGAAGGTGTAGGAACAAGAAATTCCTATCACCGAGGCCAGACCCCGGGTGGACTGACCAGGAGAACACAGGGCCCATGACCAAGGAAGGAGCGATAATAAAACAGGACGTGGAGGTCAAGATAAAGTGCTGGCTAGCACTTTCCTCTCCTACTCCGCAAAAGCTGCTCTCGAGGGGCCATGACTCCCGCTCTCCGAACTCTCTACACATTTGTTCCTGCTCACAACCGATGACGTACCGGCCACCTCAGTGGAATGGCACTGGCCCCTCAATTCCAGCATATCCAGGACTCAGCCCCACCCTGGAACCCAGGCTCAGTGGACCAGAGCTCACCTACCCAGTCATCCCACCCAGAAACCAGGACTTCCCCAAGGCTGCTCCCTCGGCCTTTCACCCCAGTATCAATCCATTCCCAGCCCTTCCCTTGAACTTCCCCACCCTCCTGACCACACCCACCGCTGCAGCTCTTACTCTCCTCACTTGAGCTCTTTCAATTCTTTCCTCACTGGCCTTGCTGCCTTCAGCCTCATCTTTGCAACTATCAGCTGCCAAAGGATTTGCTGCGGACGCAAACATGCTCATGACCCTTCCCTGATTAAAATTCTTATAATGCCTGCAGAGAAGGCCTTCCTTGATTGTCTTGATTCTCTGTCCCCAGCCATATCATGCTGAGCGGAGGCGTCCTATGCTTGAGTCTTCAGGCTACTTAATGCCTCTCTGTGCCTTTGCTTACCCTGCCCCCTGTGCCCAGAATGCCCTTCCCTGTGACCTTGTGGGTCATTGCATACACATATCCTGCACCCTGCTCAAGGATTTCTCTCCTTATGAAGACTTTTGCTAGTTACCTGCACCATACTCTCTCTACACAGAGCCCACAGACCTCTAGCCTAGCATATAACCTTCTTTACGATACTTATTTGCTTGCATGTTTTTCCCCCCCACCTGACCGTAAGGCAAATGAAAACAGGGACCATGTCTACTAAGCCAAAGCACTTAATTCTGTGTCTGGGACATAGTAGGAGCTCAAATGGCAGCATGTTGAATAAAGAATAAATAATAACATATTAAAATGGTAGCAGCTACCATGTTTGAATGCGACCTTGCTACCAGCACTTTACCAGAAGTTTATGCATGACTTCTCATTTTATCCTCTAAACCACTATTAAGAGATTTGTCTTATTGTCCCCATTCTCGAATGGAAGAGAATCAGTTTAGTGGTGAGGGAAGCTGCTTGTGGTTCAAACGGTAGTTTTTTAAATTTTTTTTATTTTTTAAGATTTACTTATTTATTTGGGGTGGGGAGGGGCAGAGGAAGTGGCTGGATCACACAACCTTGAGATTGGGACCTGAGCAGAAGGCAGAGGCTTAGCCCACTGAGCCACCCAGGCAGCCCTCAAACAGTAGTTCTAATCAAGAGGTGATTTTGATGTCTAAACAGGAAAGACTGCTGTTGCTTCAGAGACCAAATGGAGGCAAAAGCAAACATCTACAGCCTCACATTGATGAGCTAAGACAGGAAGTTAAAGAGGAAGAAAGATTAACTCTAGAGATCAGGTCTAGGGGGAGGTCTACTGATCAGGAGGGAGAACGGGGACCATGTAGAAGGGATTCTTCAGGGCTGGAAACCAGAGCCAGGCCAAACAAGTAATGTGACACTGAATTCATGACTAATCGCAATGGTACGTACAGTTTATAACCGAAGTTACTTCTCTCTAGACTGTACCCTGGAATCGGTTGGCTCTGGGTGCGAGGCCACAAGCGTGGGGTGAGGAAAATACAGGGACCAGGAATGTGTCACGGGGAGGGGAGAAGTCCCGGCAATGTGACCGGGGAATGGCCAGGGCTTCCCCAGTTGTGCGGGGTGGTGGCGCTGGCACTTGCTGGGGAGGAATCTTGCCACAGCACTACCGCTGAAGTTTCTCCTCTTGGTTGGGGTTTTACAAGTTAGAGAGGGTACCGTGGATTAAATCAGAACACCACTTTTTCTGTCAGGGGCTAAACTTTTCCAGATGTGAGAGACGGGCATCCTATTCCTGGCTCACCCAAATATGAGCTTAGTAATAAAATTTAAGGGCTCTGAGAGAACGTGAGACTGAAGCCGGGACTAGCTAAGCAGATGGACCCTTTACTCACTTTGATGTTTGCTCAGTCAGACCCCTGTGCAACCGCACTGGAGATTTTTGGCCACGGTAAAATTTTACAGAGACTGTTTCCACGCAGGATATGGGAGTATCACAACGTGATTTATCAGCAACGACTTTAACACACACTGAAGAGCACTCAGGGAGCGAAGGGAATGTCAACTCCCGGGTCATCTGCCATATTGCAAACATTAATGCCTCCCTGGAGAGTCCACTCGATCCTTTCTTGACAAACTGGAAACTGAAGCTAATGCACAAGCGCCCCCATAATTGTTGTTCCTTAGGGATTTATTTGTGAGGGGGAGAGTGAGCATTAATTGAATACAAACCAGCAGAGATCTGGGGAAGATAGAAACCTGGAGCCCTAAATCCCCACCTTGGGACTGGGATGAGGACAAACTAAACACAGTAGCTCGGAATAGGTTGACCTGAAGCCCCTTCCTTGAGATGTGTGCCAAAATGCCTGTTTGCTCTTTGGTCAGAGGAGGCACTGACCCTCTATGTTGCCTGGCCTCCGGGGAAATGGTGCTATGGCCAGATGCTGCCTGGCAAGGGACCAAACCATTTATTTCCCTATTTCCAAATGTCAAGCCAGAAATGGCCACACACGAGAATGTAGCAGAAAGACATGTAGTACAAGTGTTCACTTCATCTCCTTTGGCACTGGAAACCCCTGCCTTGCTCTGCCCAGTTTCCAGTATCTTCCCTGGACTCAAGGATGTTTAGAAGCAAATAAATTCTGGCAGTCCCAGTAATATGTACTGTGGGGAAGGAGGAAGTGGAGGCTTAAAAGAAATAGAACAAGGGTTCCTACCCTAAAAAAGCTTATAATCTAGTTGGAGAGACAAACAATATACATGAAATCACTGAAAAATAATTTTAATTATCCAAATCTATAGGGAAGCAGGAGCACTGTTATGTCCACATCATTCAAAGTAACAGTTTCCCCAACTCATTTCTGAGTTTCTCTTCATTTGGTTGATGTCTTCATGCTATTACTGCTGTCTGCAACTTTTTTAAGTAGTGTATTTAGTTTTATTATGCTTCTTTGGGGTACAAAAAATTAGCTCGCCTACAGGCACCAGAATAAGCCCCAGCTGGATGGTGGGACACCTAGATTGTGAGCATACGGGTGGTAAGTATGGCATTCAAAATAACCCACTGATGAGGATGTTCCAGGGGCACTGGTGTGTGTGGGGGGGGTCGGTCAGTTAAGGGTTCAACTTTTTTTTTTAAGATTTTATTTATTTATTTGACAGGCAGAGATCGTAAGCAGGCAGAGAGGTAGGCAGAGACAGAGAGAGGGGGAAGCAGGCTCCCCACTGAGCAGAGAGCCCCATGCAGTGCTCGATCCCAGGACCCTGGGATCATGACCCAAGCCAAAGGCAGAGGCTTTAATCCACTGAGCCACCCAGGTGCCCCTAAGGGTTCAACTCTTGATCTTGGCTCAGGTCTTGATCTCAGGGTCATGAGTTCAAGCCCAGAGTTGGGCTCCAGGCATGGAGCCTACTAAAAAAAAAAAAAAAGAAAAGATAAGAATATTCCAGGACTTACTTTGCAAATTTAATGCAGAACTGAGTAAAGTATTTCCGTGTGGAAGCCAGGTTGTCACGGATGATAGGGACATTCTGTTTAATGTGAAGAATGACAGAGGTGACATAAGGGCTCTGGTCACCAACGTGCTCCACGTTCTGCCACTGCATCTGAAAATGGAGATGGAGAAGAGAAACCTTTAGATCCCTCACAGGAGGACAGTCTGACCCGTTCCGGAAGAAGGGGCAGGTGGAATGGCAATGAGGTTAGAGCTTAGCCTCACAACCACCATTTTATCTTGGGCAGTGCTTCTTACTTTGTCTGCCGTGGCTGACTGTGGATAAAAACAAGTAAGCCCACCTTATCCTGGCCAGTGAGTTGTGACTTAGGTATCTTTTCCTAACCTGTCCCTCTGATGCTTGAAATAGCCATCCCTTCCCATCCATCTTGTAAAGGAGCCCTCACCAGGCAGGTGAACTGGACGGTCCTGTGGCAGTTCTGTCAGAAGAGGGGTGTGGGGGAACAGGGCAGGGGCAGCCACTTGTGAGCACGTTGGTAGCTTGGGAGAATGGAGCTGGTTGGGGCTAAGTGAAATGAAATCCGGATGAGGGCTACTTAGGTCTTTCTCTCAAGTAAATTGTGAAGAGGGGAGGATTTTTGAAAAAAGGGAGATGGACCTGATGTGACATGTGTGACTTAACTTCAAAATAACCTGGAGTTAGGAGTAGATAAAGTAAGATTAGTGAAGCTGGGTGACGGTCCATGAGTTCTGTTATACTGTTTTCTCTACTTTTGTACACAATTGAAATTTTTCCGTAATAAAACATTCAAACCTTACTCCTAAAACCTTTGAGATTCTGTTGGGGTTTCCATTAAGGGAAAGAAAAGAAGATCCCTGGCCATTACGAAGGGGCGGGTCAGAGGGTAAGACCATGACATGAGGAAGAGGGCGGGAAAGTGGGGCAGGGACTGTGTGGATGGCAGGTGCTGGGCAGTCCAGCAGCACTGAGAGGACCCGAGTGATCCCTGAGCAAGCTGTGAACACAAAAGACAGTCCTGTTTGGCTCAAGCTCTAACCATATGAGAGTTGGGAGAAATGCTCTGGACAATGTCTATAGTAAAACAGGGAAGGACGCAATGCTACAGTGCCTCTCCCACGTTGGATACAGAAGGAGGAGAGAGCCTGGCAGGCAGCAAATGGGCACTTTAATCCTGAAAAGAGCAGGAATGTCCAGGAGGAGTTCTGCTGAGTCAGCCTCTCCGAGTGGAGCTGGGCTGTCTGTTAAAAAGATCCGAAGCCAAACACACACCATATAATATGTTCACAGAAGGAGGGCAGTAGTTCTGAGGCCCTGATGTCTCTGGCAAGAAAACACCATTTTTTTTTTTTTTTATAGAGCTCTTGGGGAAAGGAAAAATTCAATACTGAAGGAACTTGTTTAAAAGAATCATATTGTGCATGAACGACTCCCCAGTGCCTGGGAAGCTTGAGTGACTCTACGTTTTGTCCTAATGTTTCGTCAAATCAGCAGATATTTATATTTTAAAAGCTTTAGGTATGTGTAAGCATATAAAAAAGCAGGAAGGACTTCCATCTTCATTTTAGAGATAAGAAAACCAAGCCCTAGAGACGTGCAGTTTTATGCAAGGTTCCACAACAAAGTGCCAGAGAGAAAAAGGTCCCCAAATTTTTTATGGGGAAGAATCAGAAACAAACAATGGAGTAACAGTGGAAAGTTCTGTATGAACTGACTTTATAGTCTAATGCTTTGGTTATGTGTAATGTTTTCCTCATTATCTTTTTATCTTATTCAAAAGGCTTCTTTTCCCATCTGATTTCAGAGAGTTGACCCATCCAAACAGTGAGCATCCTAGGTGCGGAGCTTAAATGAGCTCACAGGGTGAGGCCAAAACTGACAGATGCTGTTAATGTCTATACTTCATCTTCTCCCCAGGTCCGCAGCAACACCTGGAGCAGAGCATTCCGGGTAAACACAGAATCTGGGAAGGGAGTTCGATGCCCCTCTCCTCCAATGGCCATGAATGACTATTCATGAATGACTATTGTTTTCCAAGTTGGCAGCATTTTGTATTTCAACATCTCAAAAAGTTAATAATTACCTAACAGAAGATAACCGTAAAAGGAGGTGGGGATGTGGCCTGTCATTGGCTACAAAGCAACTCTGAAGCAAGACAGCGTGGGATGACGGACTCAGAGTTCCCGCTGGTGAGCTAACCCCTCTTGATCACCACAGGCCATGCCAGTACAGATCCACGTTTGTAATATATGTGAAAAGATCTGATTTGCTTTAATACCTTAGCCAGTTATGACTCTACTGGTCAAATTAAAAGAAGTATTACCAAAAACAAAGTAGATTTGTGAGTTTAAATTTAAGTCAGCTTAATGACATAGGAAAACCATTTAAGCTGCTGGAGAACAATGAAAGTTAATGTTGGTTTTACTATTTAAAAAAGAAAAATCTGCAAAATGTAATTAGCAATGACTCCATCCAGTCACTACCTCAGATGGGTTGATGCTGGCCGTCACCCATCCCAGATGACTTAAGGTTTGAGCTGTAACCTGAATGGCCCAAGATACAGACATAAGGACCCACCATAGGCAGGTCCCTTTGCCTGGCACTCTGCATACATCACCTCATTTACTATTCACACATGAGCTCATTGGGTTCTCACACCAATCTTGTAGATGACGAAAGTAAAAAAGCTTAACGAGGTTAGGTAACTTGCCCCAAGTTACACAGCTGGTAAATGACAGGACAGAGACAACAAGTCTGTCTAAAGCCCAAGCATTACAGTACCAGGCTGTTTCCTAGATGCTTGTTTTTAAAAAAAAGGAACAAAAACACTTGATGTGCCTTAATGCAAGGTAAGCCTTATTTCTCAGGGATATGCTAATGAAATATACAGTGACCAAGCAAAGATCTCTTCCAAAAAAGGCAACAAAAAGTAGCTTGTACTAGAGGAACAAACATCATGAAAAGCCATCAGTAGGAATAAAAGTCCAACTTTTCCAGGTAAACTCTGCATTTGACAGTTAAAATTTACCCTGCCCTACTTAAAAAAGGTTTTCCTTTTGTGCTTTTTGTTTGCGTGGGGTTTCATAGGACTGTTCCTGTATAAACAAGAAAAACAGTTTGCCAAAGAAGCTGTGATTAAGATACAGGAATCACAGAAACAGCATGCAAGGAAATGATCGCACTAAGGTACAGAGAGAGACTGTGGGGCCAGGGCCACAACCCTGGTTTCTGCTACCTGAGGAGCAAGCATGTGATGGATGCTAGTTACCACTTTACAGGGAAGGCCCGGGAGATAATCACTTCCCAGCGAGAGCCCACTGCAGCAGAGAATTCTGACCAGTCCACCAATCAGAGAACAGAGCTCTGCAATCAGTTTACTTTGGACCTTGTTTTTCTCCGTTGCTGTATGAAGCTTGGAGAGAGGCCTCTCCTGAGAAGCTACTTTTCCTCAAATTCAAATTCCTACCTATTCATTTTGAGCATGGAACTAGAGATAGAGAACACAGACTGACACACGTGGATTCTGGGGCTATTTCAGACAATCGGAGTCTACTGGTGTGGTTTAGGCTGCCGGGCCACTGGGCCCCAAGGACAGTCCTTGCCCAGGCAACTCAGAGGCACTCAAACGCCTGTCTGGGCTACTTTTACTCCTGCAACAAGCATCTGATGTATTTATAGGTACCTCGTGCGTGCACAGCAGTGGATTGAGCACTGCGTGGGAATTAAAAAGGGAGAAGGAACATTTTTTTGAGCACCTGTGTGATCATGCATCACGTGGTTGACATTTTCACATTAACTTATTGCCTATAACAATACAGTAAAGGAGGTAATATTACTCCTGCTTTACAGATAAGACAGACTTGAGGATAAGACATGCTTTGCCTAATGAAGCATAACTGGTAAGTTAGCAGGGCTGAGGTCTAGAAGTTGGTACATCTAACTCCAGAGTCCATGCTCCTTCCACTTTACCATGCTGCTTTCCAAAAGTGTTACCACCCTAAATGAACTTGACATTAGCTGAAGGCATCGGAGCAAGCAAAATTTACGTATGAGGCTGCAGGTTGCAGCTGACTTGGTGGTGGTGATGGCAGTGACAGGAGGAAGACACACGTTCCTTAACTTTAAGGGGAAAATCAAGAAGATCCAGAATAGAAAGCAGAGTAATAAAGGCTTTAAGAAGATAAATATATGTATTTTTTACTCACTACTAGGCCAATAGAAAGGTAAATTTGTACAACATTTCTCTTTTTAAGATTTATTATTTTAGAGAGAGAGAGAGAGCGAGTGCATGCAAGCAGGGGTGGGAGGGAGGGCAGAGAGGAAGCAGACTCTCCGCTGAGCTCCCCGAAGGGCTCCAGCTCCCAAGAGGGAGATCATGGCCTGAGCTGAAACCAAGAGTTGGATGCTTAACTGGCTGAGCCACACAGGCACCCCTGTACAACATTTGGTACAACAATCTCTACCAAAAATTTTAGCATTTTACATAGCTTTGATCTCTGCATTGTCTTTAGGACAATCTGATGTTAGTAATTATGAATGTTTAGAAAATACCCACATAGTCATCCACATATGTGAGGCGGTCTATTGCCAGACTGTTTTTTTTAAGATTTTACTTAATTTTTCTGATGTTCTTACCATATAGCTTATTTATTTTTTTATTATGTTCAGCTAGCTACTATATAGTACATAATCAGTTTCTGATGTAGTGTTCAGTGATTCATTAGTTATGTATAACACCCAGTACCCTCCTCAATACCCATTACCCTGTTATCAATCCCAAGATTTTACTTATTTGAAAGACAGAGAGCAAGACAGCATAAGCAGGAGTGGGGCTGAGGGTAAGGGAGAAGCAGGCTCCCGGCTGAGCAGGGAGCTCAATGCGGGACTCTGTCCCACAGGACCTTGGGATCATGACCTGGGCTGAAGGCAGGTGCTTACCTGACTAAGCCACCCAGGCGCTCTGCCAGACTGTTTTTAAATGTAAATAATTGGAAATAATTACCAAAAGTGAGTTGATCACATACATTTTAAGGGAAAGAGTACATTAGAATACTTAAAATGAGGAAACCTGGAGTCTGCCAGTCCAGAGTTCTAATACTGTCTGTCCAACCAGGTTAAGTTACCCAACCTCT